GGATATCCACCGGCCCCGCCCTGCTCCTGGAATGACTACAGTTAACTCAGGGAAGAGGGCTCACAAAATGCCCAGGTATCCCAAATCCATCAGCACATGAGTTTCCCAGCCAAGTGGGGAGATAAAGATTTGTTTTAAACCAACCTGAGCAAGTAGCAAGACCCCGTCTCTACTAAAAACTAGAAACAAATTAATTGGCCAACTAAAAATATTATAGAGAAATTAGCCGAGCATGGTGGCGACAGCCTATAGTCTCAGATACTCGAGGAGCTGAGGCAGGAGGATCGCTGGAGCCAGAGTCTGAGTTTGCTGTGAGCTAGGCTGACGCCACTGCACTCTAGCCCGGGTAACAGAGTGAGACTCTGTCTAAAACAAACAAACAAACAAAAAAAGATTGGTTTTTTGAATCCCTCTGTAGTAAAAAAAAAAAAAAAAAAAAAGAAAGAAAGAAAAGAAGAAAAAAATGATTTGTTTTATCTTAAAGATTAAGCACAATTCACTGGAAGAAAAATGATGATGTAACTTTTTCTTATCTCTTCACTCCCAGGAGATTAGAATTAATAGTGCTCATTACTTCTGTCTGGCAGGGTGTTTGCATCAGAGAGGAGAGATTCGGGTTTAAGAGTGAGCTCTTCGTTGTGTCACCCCAGAGGTGGACAAGGGACGCTTCTCCATCGTGATTCAGTCTCTTTCTCTCTACCCAGGTTTAGAGGAATTTGTAGGGGGGTGTGGAATACAAGTAGATTTATTTCCCAAATATAAAAATTCAGGCACTGTGGAGAGATAAACAGGACAGAAGTGGCATAAGATTATCAAAATAAAATCCCTAAATCTAATAAAGAGTATTTTGAAAAAAACTGGCCTGTATGTGAAGATTTATCCTTAGACGAACTTTTCTCCCACCAATATTTTTGTTAAGGAAACGCCCCACGTTCCATCCTTTCATAGAGATTAGAAGAGTCTCAGATATTTGTCTGGTCCAGGATGGAGTTTGGATAAAAACACACAGACCTGGACAAAAAGAACCAGCCCCACTTTCTCCAATCTCTCAAAGTCTGAGACTTGGGGCTTCCCCAGAGGTGACCAGCAGTCCAGGCCTCACCCACCTGTCCCCACTTGGTGGCCTTCGGGCACTGCCTTCCAACTTGCCCTCTTGTTTTTGCCACTCGCATCTTATCAGTCGACTGCCTCCCCCTCCGACAAGGGTCACCTTCGTATCTTTCTCTTCCCATTCCAGCTCATACCCGACAGCCATGGATTCTCTCCAGTCCGGGGCTGCTTAACCCCAGCAACATGGACATCTTGAGTCACATAACTCTTTGACGTTTATGACAATCAAAAATGTCTCTAGACATTGCTCAATGTCCCCTGAGGGCAAAGTCACCGCCTCGAGAACCCCTGCTCTAATCCTTCCTCCCTTTACTTGGAGCTCTTGTTCCTTAAGCGTTTACCCCGGGGAAGACACTGAGTTAAGTCCTTTGAGTGTTTTATGCAGATGCTTCTCAAAATGTAATGTACATAAGATTCATCTTGGCAGTTTCTTAAAATGCATATTCTAATTTAGTAGTTTTGGGGGCAGGGCTGAAGCTTCCGTGTTTCTACCACGCTCCCAGATTGCTGCTGGTTGATGGACCACGCTTGGTGAGAGCATTGCGTCCTGGTGGTTCTATGAGGACTCTGTTTCCCAGGCTCATGTTTGCACCCAGGTCTGTGTGCCTCCAAAGCTGTGCTCGTGAGACCAGACTCTCAGCTGGTGTTGGCCCGAGGCCCCTGAGTTCTCTGTCGCCCTCCCTCCTTAGGTGATGATGCTATGATGAGGTCCTCTGAGGCTGAGGCCCGGGCACGTGTTTGCCTGGACTGCCCACGCTCGATTGCTCCTTCCTCAGACAGTGAGCTGCTCACCATCCCCGGTGTATCCTGGAGCTGCCGGGTGTGTGCATGACCTCATGCCTCTGTCCCAGCCTGCCCCGTAACAGCTCATCCGCCTGCCCTCCCGCCTACCTGCAGACAGTCGGCTGGGATGGCAGCTGCCCTGGGGGCTCCTTTCCCTTCTCAGCTTCCTGCCTGAGCTCCCCCTCATCTATTGCTCCAATACTTTTTTTCTTTTTTGAGACAGAGTCTCACTCTGTTGCCCTGGCTAGAGTGTTGTGGCGTCAGCCTAGCTCACAGCAACCTCAAACTCCCGGGCTCAAGCGATCCTCCTGCCTCAGCCTCCCGAGTAGCTAGGACTACAGGCATGTGCCACCATGCCCGGCTAATTTTTTCTATATATTTCTAGTTGGCCGATTAATTGCTTTCTACTTATTAGTAGAGACGGGGTCTCGCTAGCTCTTGCTCAGGCTGGTTTCGAACTCCTGACCTCGAGTGATCCGCCCGCCTCGGCCTCCCAGAGTGCTGGGATTACAGGTGTGAGCCACCATACCTGGCCTGCTCCAATGCTCTTACCTGGTCTTCTTTTCTGTCTCCTCACTGCCTCTTGGCATCCTCTTCCCCCACTGGTTAGGGACTTTTAGTGATGCCCTAGAATAGATTCTAAAGGGGGAGAAAAAAGGTGCTGTGGGCTGTTGCCCAGGACTGGAGGGCAAGACTCAGGCCCTCCAGGAGCAAAGTCCCCACACTGGTAGCAGCTACAGTGGAGCAGGCTGCTGGCCAGGGATCACATGCGAGTGTTTCATTCGCTCAAGAAAACACACGACGCTGAGTATGCGATGGAGAGTCGGGGTGCTGGTGCCCTGGGGATTGGGAGGGGGCTGCTAAGGGCCTCTTCCACCCAGTGTCCCCTGTTCTTTCTTCTCCACTGAGCTGGAGAAAGCTGCCCTGCCCCTCGCATCACATTCTTCCGTCCATTTCTCTTGCCTGGGCCCAGGTTGAAGCAAACTCTCAGAGTGGTTGTGCCGGGCCGGGGCAGGGCGGGTGGTGGATAATTTAGAGCAGGGGCCACCAAACTCTTCTTGTAAAGGACCAGAGAATAAATATTTTAGGCTTTGTGGGCCCTACAGTCTCAGTCACAACTACTCATCTCTGCCGTTGTGGCACAAAAGCAGCCAGAGACAATATATAAACAAATGGGCTCGGCTGTGACCATTAAAACTTTATTTATGGGCCGGGCGCGGGGGCTCACACCTGTAATCCTAGCACTCTGGGAGGCCGAGGTGGGAGGATCGCTCAAGGTCAGGAGTTTGAGACCAGCCTGAGCAAGAGCAGGCCCCCGTGTCTACTAAAAAAAGAGAAAGAAATTTATTGGCCAACTAAAAGTATATAGAAAAAATGAGCCGGGCATGGTGGTGCATGCCTGTAACCCCAGCTACTCGGGAGGCTGAGGCAGAAGGATTGCTTGAGCCCAGGAGTTTGAGGTTGCTGTGGGCTAGGCTGACTCCATGGCATTCACTCTAGCCTGGGCAACAGAGTGAGACTCTGTCTCAAAAAAAAAAAAAAAAAACAACTTTATTTATGGACACTGAAATCTGAGTTTTGTGTAATTTTTCACGTCACAAAACATTGCTCTTCTGATTTTTTTCTTCCCAATCCTTTAGACATGCCAAACTTATGTTTAGGTCACAGGTTTGCACTGTTCTTAACTTAGCAGTGGCAAGCTGATGTGGCCGGGGCCTGCAGAATCCAGTGTGTCCTGCAACGCATGACCTGGGGACAGGGGCGAACGCTGGAAATGCTGGATTAGGCAGAGCCGAACACAGTCCCCTGTTCCCCACTGGGCTTCTCAAAGTCTTTACTCTTCTTCCAGAGCATTCTGCGTTTCCAGCAGGGGCTAGCACTCGCCAGGCTTCTCTAATGCACCGGACTAGGAACTCATGTGTTCCATGCAGCGTCTTGTGACACAGGCACTCCGTGGAACGCGCTTTGGGAAACCTGCACCAGCCGATGCCCCGTGTGTGACGCGCAGGGAAACGGAAGCCCGAGCTCCTTGCCATCTGGAGACGGGGCCAGAGCTCTTGACTGCACTGGCTCTCCTGATACACCCACATCCCCTGTGTCCCCCGAGTGGCTCCAGGCAGAGCAGCGCAAGTCCAAGGCTGCCCCACCAGGACACCGGGGCATACTGTGGCAGAGTGATCGTAAGCCCAGGCACTGTGGGTGGCTGCGTGTCGGGACACACTCCTAAAATTCCCGGCCCTGATGGATTGAAGGAGAGGAACGTACAGGTCATCCTCAGCCCCGGGGCTGCCATCCCGCCACCCACAGGGCATGATTGCTAAGTGATTTTGACAGCGAGGAGCCCCACGCACTCTGTACAGTAACGCTGTATTTACGTGTGCACAGTCGACAAAGCACTTCCGTGTTATTTTTTTATTTTTATTTTTTATTTTTTTGCATTTGTTCCCTACACCTGCCCTCTGGGGGATGTGCAACAAATTTAAAAATTTTTATTTTAATAGATGTAAGGCACCGTGGCTCAGGGAAGCTAGGGGACCCGCCCCTGGCTACAGAGCCAGCGGCAGAGTCTGAACTCCGGCCCAGGTATCCTCTCACCTCAGGGGCTGCTGTCCCCTTTGCCCTGTCGCCTTAAACCGAAGGGTGACTAGGCAGTGAAGTAACTCTCTAGGAAAGCATGACCAACTCCGCTGTCTCCACCTCCCTCTTCTTCCTCCGCCCCTCCCCCCAGCCCCCATATATATTCTTACAAATCCCCAGGAAGCCTTGCTTGCCTACACACCTTTGCTTTTGAAACGACTTCCGCGGCTGGGACAGGAACTTGCCAGCCGCAGTTACACCCCTGATGGGGGAATGGTGAGAGTGCTGCCCAACCTTCCCCTTCTCGGAAAAGAACCAGCCACCTGCAGACAGCCGGCCCTCGAGTATCACTTACAAGACCTGAGGTGAGCGGTGGGAGAGTCTTTTTTTTTTTAAATTAATTAATTAATTAATTTTTAGAGATGGGTCTCACTATATTGCACGGGCTGGGATTTGAACTCCTGGGCTTGAGCGATCCTCCTGCCTCAGCCTCCGGAGTAGCTGGGACTACAGGTGCCACCGCACCGGGCCATAGGGGATGCTTACGCACTCTGCTTTGACGCAGCAGCCTTATTTAGGAATGGGGGTTGAGGGTGGTGGTGGAAGTCGCTTTTTTGAGTGTATCTGTAAAGACAAAGCATGGCTGGGGGTGAGGAGGTGCTTTCTCCAATTTCACATCAGGAAGGACTGAGGCTGGATTGGAGGGAGGCCAGGAGGGCTAGGGGACCCAGAGATAAAATTTCAAGAGAGGCCGTAAAGCCTATGGCGTTCGGAAGAACAGAAGGAAGAGACTTGGAGGGAGACACTGAACCACAGACCCGCGTGACGAAGGATAGTGGGTGCCAGCCTGGGCCACTAGCCAGTCCCTAGCCCAGGTGTCGGCAGCCACCCCAAAGGCAGGTCTGTGGTCCTCCCGCCCAGTCTGGGGGTGGGAGACACTGTCTTCAGGTGGGAGACTGTGCCTGGAGTAAGAAAGGTTCTTAAATGGTTGTGGAAGTAAGCGAGGAAGAAAGGGAGGACGCCAGATGAGAAGAAAGAGCGAGCAAGGAAGAAGGGAGGCAGGCAAAGAAGGCACTGGAAAGGAATTCTCTGCACACGGTCATCATAAACAGACAGCGATGCTCAGTCCCCCAGCGTGGAGGCTCCTCACGCATCCTCCCAGCGGACATTCCAGAGGAAGGTTTGAACCGTGACTCATCCGGAGTCTTCTTCGGTTATTTAAAAAGTGAATTCTTACAGTGGCGCGTGAGTCAGTCGGTGGAGGTGGTGGCAGAGTGAGTGTGTGGACCGACCCTGGCCTGCCCTCCACGCCCCTCCCCGGGGACCGGGATGAGCCCCTGGGCTCCCTTGGATGAGGAGTCAGGGACAGCCACCTCCCGAGAGGGACAGAAAGACCTGCCTGAGTGTGCCTGGTGACCTGGGACACAGCACACGCCTAGCTAAGCTCTCCGTCCTCCCAAGTTTGGGGCTCCCCAGACACGTGCTACGGCACATTAGGACCCCCCATTTCTTCACTCTTCCCGGTCACAGTCTGAGTAGCACGTTGAGGGTTGAGAGAACCATAGGGGACAGGGGAGGAGGCACGGGGCCTGCGGGTGTGGATGGGCCGGGCAGGGGAGGGTGGGCAGAGAGGCGGCAAGACCAGTGGGCATGAGATCGAGGGGCAGAAAGCCCCTCCGCCCTACCCCAGTGCACCCCAGCAGGGCCATAGGTTTGCAATACTCCAGCCTGGGGACCTCCCCCCGCCCCCCAGTCTCAGTTTCCCACGTGTGTGCCCCGAGGTTGGCCCGGCAGACCCAAGGAGAGCTATCCTGGAGTCAGGGGGCTGGTGCTCAGGGGCCGCCTGCTTTGTCTCAGCAGACCCACGGTCCTCCCCGCCCACGATGGGCTCCGCTGCCCTCCCTTGCCTGAGCCTGCTGCTGCTGCTCTGGACCCAGCCGCCGCGGGCCCGGGGCCAAGAGTTCCGCTTTGGGTCCTGCCGCGCCAAGGGGGTGGATCTGCAGGAACTGTGGGAGGCCTTCTGGGCCGTGAAGGACGCAGTGGTAAATATGACAACACGTGCGCTGGCCCCGGCCCCGGGGGCTGTCATGGAGGAGGGATGGCATTTTGTGACGACAGAGCCCTCTGCAGCTGGCTAATCAGCTTCCTGTACAATAACCCGGCGAGGTCAGAAGGCGCCACAAGTCCCGCTTCAAAAACAGGAGGAAACTGAGGCTCAGAAAGATGTGGTCAGCCTCTAGGAAGATAAACAGAGCCCAGGGGAAATGCAGAAGAGAGCTTGATTCAGCCAGGCTTCATCCTGGATGGACTCTTCAGCTCTAAATCCAAGTGCTAGAAATGAGTGGCTGGGCTGCAGAGAGCGCCAGGGGCCAGAGGCAGATCTGGGGGGCAGCCCATCTCCCCAGTACCCACCGCCTCACCATGAGGAACATGGAGGTGAAATCCTGCTCTAGGGGTTCCTAACCCAAACCAGATAGGCCTATTTCCTCCCGTCTCAAATGACCCAGGGAGTCAAGCAGCTCTCTCATGCGGTGGGTGTCCAGGCTCTAAGAACTCCTGGGATTCCACTGGTCCCCGGGAAGTCAAGCTGGGCGGTTTTCCATGGCTGAAGCCTTGCGACCCTTCCCCAGGGGCCAGCTCAGCACGGCCCCTCCCGGGTCCTCCTTTGGTCCCTCTGGCTTCTGAGATCTCCCAGGCTGGATAGCTTTAGGGGTCTAGGGAAGCAGCGCATATTGGCAGGGTTGGTTTCTATGCTGCGCCCCTAACCTGGAGACACCTTCTCTGTCTGTGCCCAAAGCAAGCTCAGGATAACATCACGAGTGCCCGGCTGCTGCGGCGGGAGGTTCTGCAGGACGTCTCGGTAATCAGGCCTTGGGGCAGGACGGTGCCTGCCTCTGCGGGGCTGGTCTGCTGCGGGTGGGGGTGGGGCTGCATCAGGGGAGGCCGGTGGGAGCCCTGCACTGACCGCACACGGGAGGGGGCCAGGCAGGGAGGTCAGTGTCTGTCTGGGGCTATCGCTATGCGTCGTGCGTGTGCATGCGTGGGGAGTGGGTGCGGATTGAGGCTTGCAAACCCCTTTCTTGTGTAGGCCCAATGCGCATCTGTTCATGTTCACCTCCCCTTCCCTCTCCATCCTTTTCTCTCACCCTTGCATCTCCCCATCCCCTACTTTGTCGGGGAGTGGGCACAGCCAGCTGAGCCCTGAAAGGTGCCGAGCTTCAGGAGCCCGAGGGGAAGAGAGTGCAACGGCTGTGTTCAAAGACGTTCTTTCCTCCTCGTTTCTTCTCCTCCCATTTTCCGGCCAACTCTCAACCACCAAGTCCAAGTTCAAGTGCTTTTCAGGGTCCGTCACCTCCCCCATAGCTATTAGAGAAGCCACGTGGTATAGAAAAGAGAGAATATTAACCAGGTGGGCACCCAGGCGTCCTGGGCGCTAGGCCTGTGCCTGCCACTGACCCACTCTGTGTGACCTTGGGCAGGTCCCTTTTCTCTCTGTGGGTCTGGGTTCCTCCTGTAAAACACAGGTGCTGCTAGAGCAGCCCCAGGAGTCTCCTTCAGATCTAAGGTTCATTCATCTCCTAGAAGACCCCTGCCTCTACCGTGCTTATCTTGCCTTGGGTGGCATGTGGCTGTTCCTCCAGGGTGCTGGGGGTGCAGAGGCCTTGGCCCCAGAGTGACCCAGCCCCTCCCCAGGATGCTGAGAGCTGTCACCTCATCCAAGCCCTACTGAAGTTCTACCTGAATACTGTTTTCAAACACTACTACAAGAGAACAGTGGAATTCAGGACGCTGAAGTCCTTCTCTACTCTGGCCAACAACTTTATCGCCATCAAGTCGCAACTGCGGCCCAGTGTGAGTAGAACAAAGCTGGGACCAGGAGCCATGGGCGATGGTGTGTTCTGAGACTGCGCCCCTCCGCTTATGCGGTCCTGGCTTAATTCCGCAACAGGGAGTCTCGGGTGTCGTGGGAAAGAGGCTGGGCCTGCTTCTATTAGTCGTCAGCTACGTGGCCCTTGGCAAGGTCCTGAACCTCTCTGGACTTCAGTTTTGTTTTCTGGGAAGTGGGGATGGTCACGGTCACTCCTGCCCAGCGGCGGGACTGCTGTGAGAATCAAAGGAGGCAGCCCCTGCCACAGCAGGGCGGGGGCTTGGCACTGGCTGCCCCAAGGAACTGGGGCAGTTCCTCTCGGGACTTCGGAGCCCCTCTGGCATCTCCGGGAAGGGTGAGGGGAAGGCTTGCCTCTGCTCTTCCCTAACACTTGGCGCAACTTTCCCGCCCCTGTCATCCAGCAGGAAAATGAGATGTTTCCCGTCACTGAGAGGGCACGTGGGCGCTTCCTGCTGTTCCAGAGAGCATTCAGACGGGTAAGGCCAGGAGCCGAGAGCTCGCCCATCTAGCCCGAGCTGTCACATGGGGGCGCCTCGGAAACCTCATGCAGAATCGAATGCAGGGGACCCCACTAGCCTTGCCCCAAAGCCACCTAATTTGGCAGGAACACAGGCATATTTGCACCAATGGCCATATGCTTTGTACAAGCATCGCGGGCTAAGTGGTCGTGTTTCCTGCCAGCTTGCAAGTTAAAGTGCTATTATATTTCCCCCCAAGACGATTCACTATCGAAGACTCTCCCTGTGAGAGTGTTTTATGGGTACCTGGGCTGAGGAGCGGAAGTCAGAAGTGAGGGAGAAAGAAGGCAGACGCTCCACCCCCGTACCATACCCATCTGCGGTATTTGCCATGATGTGCAAATGGTCTGGTTTGTGGGGAAAAAAAATTATGGGAAATTATGTCGCCTTTTCCCAAAGTAAGACAACAAAGAAAACCCAAATTTCATTCCCAGGACTCCTCCAAAAACATATGATTTTTGATCGCTTTTTTGAAGCAACAGATACATCGGCCTGTAAATAAATGGTGAAGACAGTAACATCCGACAGGAAGGGGGCACTTGGGCTCATATCCTCCTGGGCACAGGGGATGCAGGTGGTGGGCCACATGCACCCCATGCCGGAGGCTGTGGCTCTGTTGTTAGGGCCACTGTATGCTGTCCCCATGCTCCTTACCCTCTGCTACTCACTGGCCCATTGGTCCTCACCCCTGAAGCAGATAAGCATGTATAGATGGGGGACAGGTGATGGAGAGGCCAGTTCATTAAGGTCATCCCAAAGGCGACCCAGCCCATGATCTCGAGCCAGACTTGTTTTTTAGGGAACACTGTTCTCATAGTGAACATGTGTGGCCGCCAATTCTCCTTTCCTTTTAGCTGGACAGAGAGGCAGCTGTGACCAAAGCCTTTGGGGAAGTGGACATTCTCCTGACCTGGATGGAGAGATTCTACCGGCTCTGACGCCCGGACCCGCATCCTCTCCTCACCTGTTCCCTGTGTCATTTCAAATGGGCGTCCCTTCCCGCGCTGCCCTCTGGGCACTCCACCCCCTTGGAACAGGCTTGTTATCAAAGACGTTGTTCTTCAAGCAGCCCCAGCGACAGTCCTGGAAGGCCCCTTTGGATGCTGTGAATGGTTTACAAGGTGGATTCCCGTATTTATTGCAACTCTATTTAATCATTGTCAGTGTTTGAAGTTATATTTATTTGTGAGACTGTAAGTTCCACGAAGGCAGCAGAACACAGAGCCCCATGCTTCTATTTTAGCCCCGTGATCCTTGCCACAGTAGGGGGCAGTGGACGGGCACTCAGCAAATACTTAATAAACTGGGTTTTTTGCTCGTCTTTGGATTGTGGAGGAATGATGGGGGATGCTGGGATGATGTAACATTGAATGTTAGGACATGGAAACCACACTGTCTTGTGACATCGGCAGGGATAGCACTGGGGTGGGGATGAGGGGCAGCAATTTGAAAAGTAAACGATGAAAGACAAAGTATAGGTTAAATGGCCCAGCAGGAAGCGGATTCCCACTAAACCTTTCGTTTCCTGCCCACGCTCACCAGCCCACCCACCGTCCCTTTCCCTTGGGCGCCCTCCTTTTCTCATTCTAGTCATTCTCCCCTTGTCGGCCACTGGAGAGGGAGCCAGTGTCAAGCTGGCATGGCTGATGGGGTCACTGTACCTGGACGCACTGTCCAATGTGTGACGGCGTTTCCCGATAATAAAAGGCAACACAACTCAAGTCTGGCAGCCTTTCCTTTCTACTTCCGGGCAAATGCCCAGGGAGACTGTGTTGTCTGTCTGGCAAAGGCCTCCTTCCCAGTGGCAAGACTGGGCACTCTCCAGCCTCAGGCTCTGGCTGAACTTTGTAGCTGACATCAATCTAAAGCTATAATGGCCGACTAGGACCTTGCTCCAAAATCTTAAGCGAAAGCGTCTATGTAGGAAGTGAGATATCTCTTCTTCTAGGACATTGGTGCTATGGCAGAGCCCCTGGCCCTCCAGAAAACCCGGATTGCACCCCTTCCCCACCTTGCTATATGTTGTCTGCAACTGGCAAAAAGATGAGGCATGCTTCTGAAAGCAGAGAGATGTAACGGTTTGGGATGGTTAAAAATAAACCAAAATTGAGTTAAGTGCAAAAATGTCAATGCCAGGCTGTGGAAGACGGAAAAGGGGATGACCAAGATGATTCCTAAAAGAGGGGAGATGCCAAGGTCAGGGTACTTATGTGCATCAAGGGAGGGGGACAGAGTAAAGAGGGTTTATGGATGTATATGTATATCTCACTAACACTAACAAGCCTGGTTCTGAAAATTTACAATGCGTCATTACATCAGAATAGATTGCCCTTACCATAGAAACTTGGTAGAAGCTCACTAGCAAGTGCCAACTTTTGGATCAGGGCAAAGATGTTCCCAGGAGTGTTTTCATACCAGACCCCTGCCTGGCTCATGGGGCTGGCCCACGTCCTCATGATGCAGACCGAGAGCCTTGTAGTTGTGCAAGGCCTGGGAAGGGTCCCCGAAGCCACAGCTATGCCTGTGCTCCAGCCTGTCGCCATGTGATCTAGAGCCAGGGCTGCAAAGACCCTGTGATGAAAGACATTGAGGAAACACTCTGCGAATCCCACAGCCTGTCAGATGGCTTGGAAAGGGAGCCAGTGGCCCTGGGACAAATGCTCTGCATGCCGAGAACCCCCACCCCACCTCCCGACAACCAGAGGGGGCTGCAGACGTGTGTAAGAGGAGCTGGAGGCACAGCCATGCTCAGGGCACAGAGACATGGGGGTGACAGTTGAGATGGGGCACGGGATGTGATGAGGGCTCTGAGGACAAATGCAGCGGGTATTGGAAATCAGCAGAGAGACAAGAGTCATTGGCGTCACCGTCCGGGCTTGGGGGGCCATCCGGGGAGGTGAGTAAGGCAGGAATATTGATATAGTCATCTGAATCACTGTCCTCCGTCTTGGCATCAGGCCGGTGGTAGAAACTCACATATTCACAGCTGGTCTTCAAAGACGAGGCGTGGAGCCAGGGAGCTTCAGAGTCCTGGGAAAAACCAAAGAAGCGTCACTGGATCTGGGCTGGGTGATTTGTATCTCTCCTGGTGGATTTCCACAGTGGGCAATGGGGGGGCATGGGCGTGGTGGCTGAGCTCCAGAAGATACAGAGGTGGCTGAGCTCCACCAAGCGGGCCAGCCCTGAGGGTGTTCAGCGTGGTGTCTCACCCTAGATAACTGGAAAATACTTCGATCTAATGTGGGCAGGAAATAGCTTAACTGGGGCTCAGACTACAACCATGCGTCTAAGCACAGGTCTGAAGGAGACCCAGCTGCCAGAGGAATATCCCCTCGGGGATAAGATGATGTGACTTATGGGATAAATATGCATCTTCTTAGGGAGTTATTCCAAAGCAGGGTGAGTCACCCTCTGCACCTCTGTAAGGGCTCAGAGAGGCCATGATGAGGCAGTGCATTCCAGGAAGGGGCTGGGTGGTGAAAGGGAGGAGGATGGCAGAGCACGTGGACACAGTGGTGTTCCTCTTCCCCAGACAGAAACTTCAGGATCCTCCACCTTCAGGATGGTCAGTTCTCAGACGACAGGGCTGTGCCAATGACCCCAACATGGCTCAATGACTGTAACAACGTCCACTGAAGGCCACGGTGGGCCCCATCATGTATTTAAACACAAGCTCTGAGAACCGGGAGTCCGGCACCCTGAACGTCGTAGGCACTCAGTACGTACCCATTGAAAGGAGCTTTTACATTTTGTATTTTACCAAAGAGGGAGGCAGCAGCAGCTTGCTTCAAAAAAAATGTATCTTTCCATCAGTCAGGGAAATAAGAAGCCACAGAATAGAAAGGAAAAAGAAGAGAAAGTTGAAAAAAGAAGTAACAGTGAGAGTAAAGAAAACCGGAAAATATAGTCAGATGGAGCTGGTGAAAATGTCAGAGAGGATGGGGCTTAGTTAAGTAATGAATGAGAGAAGCTAACAAGCACGAGTGGGTACCACTCTACGTGATGATGTTGGACCACATGGTCAAGGAAGACCTGGATCCCGGAACAGCTCGAGCTGTCAGACTGAAGCAAACACACAGCACATAACAAGAGGGAGAAATGGCACACGAAGGTGGAGGAGAGACAGAGAAAAGAGAGATGATCAAGATGGAGTTTTCAGGGTGACAGGTGAGGGTCGTAATATCCGAGCTTCCTTTACAGGCCGAGGATGGGGAAGAGGATGAGGCAGAGGAAATCCTTGATGTATGATGTGATTTTTTTTTGGTTTTGTTAAATTACATGAATGTTGAACAAAAACGAGCAGGCCCTCTGTTGGTTTTTCACACTGTCCTCTACTATGTTTTAACTAATTTTTTTTTTGTCTGATAATAAAGATGGTTTTAGATTTGTTAAAACAAACAGAAATCTATCTTTCACTGTCAGTTGCAGTTCGTCATTTGAGATTAATGTATTTGGCTTAAAAAATGAAAATACTCCCTGCGAAGGCTAAAATAATCGGCCATTAAGTGTATGTACCATGTTGTACATTTGTTCCATCAAGTTTTTTTTTTTTTTTTTTTTTGCCTCTAACAGTGGGAATGAGAGTTTCAGGGAGGGAGGCAGGGTTCAGGCCCTGGTGAGGGTCTGTGGTCACAGGTGTGGTCACAGAGCATCCCAGAGAAAAGGGTGGTGGGAGGGAAAAGTAGACAGGCACCATGCCCAAGCTGGAGTGAACCTTCTCTAGCAGGGCTGGGGAAGGGCAGGCTCCACAGAACTGCTACTTGTTGCTGGGTGTCACTCTCCCCTCTTTAGCAAGGCAAATGATTGCCCAGACAGGGACTACATTTCCCAGCATCCCCTGAAGGGAGGTGTCGCTAGACGGCTAAGTTACCCGGTGGGATGCGAGTGGAAGTGATGCGTGGAAGTTCAAGGTCAGGGCTTAAGGAAGCAGCTTTCTCTTTCTCTCTCCTGCTGGTGACTGAGTATTGACCATGGACCAGGCCAGACTCCAGGGGATGGTGGAGCAACAAGGCAGAAGGAATTTGGGTCCCTGGGTGACCACGTGGCTCAGGCCACCTCTTCCTGTCCCTCTGCGTCTGAGCGCCTATTTATTTGGGAGGAAAATGGGCTTCCATCGCGACAGCCCTGTCTTTTAGGATCTGTCGCATTAGCTTAGTCCACACTCGAATTAAAACAGGGGTTTTGCCACACTTTCTGCTTCTTTAGGTAATCGTGTTTTAGCCACTGTGGGCTACTGTAGAGAATAGAACGCTTTCTCTTCTTAACTCAGGAAAACAAAGATGAACGGATAAGGGCTTTCCCCCCCATCCATCAATGGCTGTTGATAGAAACACGCCTTCCCTATGTCCATCATAGATTTCAAGACGAATCTCCCTCCCCCAAGGTGTCGAATCCCGTCTGTATCTCTGCCACATCATCCTCTCGCCCAGGCCTACCTGCCTCCTGAGATGGGCAAACTACCTCCTCTCATCTTAGACAGTTTACTAGAAAGTTCTCCCTCGTATGTGTGCAGGTGGAAACTGTCCCGGCAGCTTCCATCCCCTCAGGACCTCCTAGAAATCCGCTCTCTCCCCGCGGCAAGCCCTTCCCGCAATTGCAGAGTCGCCGTCCAGCGCGCTCCGCTAAGCTGCCGGCATCCAGCACCCGTTTGCCCCATGACAACTGCTTGGCTACAAGCCACGCAGCCACGTCGCCTCGCCCCGGGTTCCTGCTATTTCTGCTCCGACAGGAGGGAACTGACAAATTGTCCGCCCGCTCCAGCCAGACGCGAGAGAGCTGGAGCGCTGGAGCGCCGGTGCAGCCAGCGCGGGGCCGCCCCGTCGGGCGGCGGCTGTCAATCAGGGCAGGCAGGGGCGACGGGGGGAAGGGAGCTTACCTGCGGCGGCGCGGGGGGCGCGGGGGGCGCGGAGGTGCCGGGGCCTGGGACCCGGACGTCCAGTCCCTAAGGAACAAGAGCGCGGTGAGGCGATGGCCGAGGCCCGACCCGCACGCCACCCGCCCGACCGCGTCCGGCTGGCTCGCTCACGCTCCGCGTCAGCGGGCCGAGGCGCGCGGGCAGGCGCTGTAACGTTTTTTGGGAGCGCGCGCCGCGCCGAGCGGGCGCTGCGCAGGGCCGCTGCGACGCCTCCAGGGCGCGCATCCTCAGGGCCAGGCGGCGCACTCGCCCTGGAGGCTTGCGCAAAGCGCGGGCAGAGGGGTAGAGGCATGCATCAAAGGCCGTGGCGCCCCGGTCCCCCTCCCCGAACTAAAGGCTCTCCCCTTCTCATGCTCGCCATGTCCGTGTGGCGATGCTGCGTAAAAGTGCAGAATGTGCGAGCACGGCCTTGCTTCCAGCAAAGACCAGAGGCCATGGCCGGTCTTTCCTCTCCCCATTTGCAGACCACGCGACCCATCCCCTTCGCACACCCAGGCTGCATCAGAACGCCCTGGCTTTCCCTGAAGCCCAGCGGGGGTTGAATGCTCTGGGCTCTTCGGGCAGCTCAGCTCTTGCACCAAGGCCGAGCCAGGCGCTCACCTTTCCCTTTGAACGGCCTTTTCACCAACAGCCCAAAGGACCAGCAGGAAAAGGCCAGGGTGGTCGGGATGAGGATGTGAAACCCGGGCTTCGCCCGCCGCTGAGCACGGTTGGGTGCCCTGGAGAAGAAGGAGAGGGAGAGGGGGGAAGAGAAGGTTAGCCAGAGAGGGAGGTTAAGGACGCACCAGCGTTGTTTGGAGGTGACTCACAGGCTTGTCCCTTTGTTAACAGAATTTGCCCCATTCCTCCCTCAAAAAACGTGCCTATGGAATCGGAACTTGGGTTCAATTCAGGTTCTGTCTTTTTACTGGCTTGTGTGATCCTGACAAGTCTCTAACTTCTTTGGGCCTTATTTCCCCAAATGGATAGTAAATATTTCACACAGAACTGTTAGGCTGATACAAAAAGCAGATATAAGGATTAATGCACCCGGCCCATAGCAGGGTTCAATAAATACTGGGTCCCCCAAAATGTTGGTTTCTTCCAAGATTATCGCCAACTCGAACGAGCTAGTTCCTTTCTCATCGTGCTGCCTCTGCCTAGAAGGTCTCCCTTCCATTGCAGTTTCTCTGCATATTGAAATCTTACTTTGCTCAAAGGGACAATGCATACGTCCACTTTTCTTCCCAACCACGGTAAACCAGAATCATTTTTTCGTGCTCTATGTTCCCAGTTCTTCTGCTCGTGCTTTACAACCTCATCGCAGTCAGACGTATGTTAGTACCCAGGATATTGCTTATTTTCATTTTTTCACATCTTCCAGGAAATAGCAGTGCTGGGAATATGTGGAGGCTTAGGAAATGTTGTTGAAATTTCCCTGATACCTTCTCCACTGTTAGGTTGGTGTGATTTTCTGAACTAGAATCAGGAGTCCTGGTTCTGTTGAAACCACTAGCTCTCAGGACTCAGTTTCCGCACTTACAGAACCAAATGATGTTGAGGCCTTTCCCCCTTATAACATGTTTGTCTTTGCTTACGCACCAATAATTCCTGCTATTTTCTTTGGAGTCTGCTATGATGCTGCCCCCTAGTGGTTTATTTCAGTACTTCCTGAATTGCACTCCAGCCTTTGACCAATAGAAATATGTGAGTCAGGTATGTAATTTTAAATTTCCTAGTAGCCACATTAAAAAAGTGAAAGGAAACAGGTGAAAGATAATTTTAATATTTAAGAGTTTAAGAGTTAATTTTGACCGGGCGTGGTGGCTCATGCCTGTAATCCTAGCACTCTGGGAGGCCAAGGTGGGAGGATTGCTCAAGGTCAGGAGTTCGAGACCAGCCTGATCAAGAGTGAGACCCCATCTCTACTAAAAATAGAAAGAAATTAATTGGCCAATTAAAAATATACAGAAAAATTAGCCGGGCATGGTGGCGCATGCCTGTAGTCCCAGCTACTTGGAAGGCTGAGGCAGATGGATTCGTTGAGCCCAGGAGTTTGAGGTTGCTGTGAGCTAGGCTGATGCCACAGCACTCTAGCCTGGGCAATAGAGTGAGACTCTGTCTCTCTCTCAAAAAAAAGAGTTAATTTTACTTTTATCCTCACTTAATTCTTCCCTATAAAAAGAGATTCGAATGAATCTGAGTGACTGAAAGACTCGGGTCTCACTTCTTTCTGCAGGGTCAGTGCTTGGGCGTGGACTAGTGCCTTCTTGCTAATGAGACTAATGAGTCAATGTGCTACACTCATAGGTCGTGTGTTTTGCAGAGGCCTTTTAGAGACAACGCTAAAGAGGCTCTCTAATGGTGGTCTCTAGGGGAAGATGTCAGTGGATCTCCCAATTGCAGCCTGCTTTGCCTGGGGTCTGGCCCACCCTGCGTGTGCACTCTTACCTCTGCCTGTGCAGCCTGGTGTGGTGGCCGTAGCCGGCCGTCCGCGGCCCGAGCAGCCTCTCCCGAGCTGAGATCTTCGAGGCTGCGGTGGATGGCGGGAGGGTTGGGGGCTTGGTAGCCGCTGCTGAAGATGCTCTGGAAACTCGAGGGTGGCGGATGGTTAGGGTGGTGGGGGAGGGGCGGTGGGCTGGAGGGGCCTCCGTCCTTTGAGCCTGCGTGGTAACTAGAGGAAATAACAGGAGAAAGTGAACTTCCATGTATAAGCTCTAGTCTCCAGCAGGATTGAGTGACCGCCTCTTTCCCCAGTACACCCTTCCCTTTTATGCAGACTACCTCTGTTCTTGCAGTCTTCATGGCCTGAAACACCTAGTCAATTCCAGGCATATTTGCTTCCAATACCATTTCTTCCAGGAAGCCTTCCCTGACTTCCCAGGCAGAGGAGCTTGCCCTCCTCTGAGCAGGGGTTGGGGGAACCTTGTTTGTAGTTCTCTTCCCACTCTGCCTTGTGCTGTATGTACGTGCTTATCTATTCTCTCCCTTCCTACACCTGTCAGCCACGACCCTGGCTATAGGATCTGCTTAGGTACACCATCCTTCTTGGCCCCCAGCAGAGCCCCCTAGCATAATGATGTTCAATCAATGTGTCTACTTCGCAGGGCATATGGGAGGATGTGATGGAAATATTGCCTATCAAAATGTATTTAGAGCTGGAAAATGATATCTAAATGTAAAGGTATGTTAGAAGCAAGACTTGTCAGTAAAAAAAAAAATAAATAAATAAAAAATAAAAAAAAATAAATGTAAAGGTATGGTTAATATGATCATCGTCAATCTTTCAGTTGCAAAATAGAGTTGTTAAGATCACTAGGCACCAGCAGGTACGAGACAGCCCTAGAGAGAGCAGGAGGCATGATGACCTCCCGCTGGGAAACGTCTGCCCAGTGTTGGTTTCCACATTCATTCATAAAAGAGCAAGATTTTGTGAATGGAGCACAAACTTCATTGCTTATGGCGCCACCTGGTGGTGATATGTATGTTCTGCGACCAGGGAGGTACCCTCTCTGGAAGGCAGGGAAATACACATCTGAGACTCGGCTCAGCTCTGCCAGCCACTGTGTGAACTGAACACGCCCTGTCCTCTATTCTCACCGTGTCACAGCATCTTCCCCGCCTCTCCCGCCCTCGCTGTGTGAACTGACCTTTGGATGTGAATTTGTAAGAACTGGCGTGTGTAGGCGCCTGGAACCAAGGCGGCACGTGCAGATGCAGAAACTTATAAAACCATTTTGGAGGCTCAGGCATTATCGGCTCCTCTTCCCAGAATGGCTCATACTCTACTGGAGGCAAGAGGAATATGTTGGTGGTTTGAGGGGAGACTGAGGCTTGAGGAAGGGACTGTTGGTGTAAGCTGAAGCTCGCTCAGCCGGGGTGGATGGCAGTGAGGGCGGGAGGGCAGGGTCCACCGAGAGGGGCAGAAAAGCAACTGAGCTGGAGGCTTCCCTGAAGGAAACACTCTTCCCCCCAGCCCAGTTGACATTCCCTGCAAAACCATCAGAGGCCGCTGGGATTCCCAGGGATAAGCAGACACTCGCCTGGGTTGAGTGCTGCATTGGTAGGGAGGTCAGCGGAGGAAAGGAGGAAGGTGGGTTCAGGGAAGGAAAGGATCAGACCATAAAGTAACTCACAAATGGCTCACAAATGTGGCTTGCTAAATGGGCATCTTTCCTTTATATTCATCCCTGATATTTCTCATGGGACAATTACATAGGACGATAATGTCCTTTTACTTCCAGTTTCCTCCCATCTCAGAGCCTCTCCTCGACCTCAAGCCCGGCCCGGAGCAGGGTGGGCACTACAAGGAGAGCACCCATTTTCTTCTTCTCATCCGCTTTGGATAGAAAATTCTGCGGACCATGAAATTAATTGACTATGAGGTTTCAACGAGGTGGATCCCAATTTGGGGGCCAATATGGCAATAGCGTAGGAGTCTGGGGACTGCTACAGTGACACGGCTGAGTGGACACGTTTTTTGGGGGGAAGGCGCTGAGCCATCGGCTGAGGCACGTACCGCTGTGGACGTTCAGGGTGACTTTCTGGGTCTTCCCCCGGTCTGTGTTTGTGCCCGCCCCACAGGCGTAGTCTCCACTGTCACTTTCGGCCAGCTCTGTCACCTCCACGAGGAACAGATTCTTGTCTGGGCACAGCTGCAGAGTGACCCGGCCCATGTATTCCTTCTTGGTGTAGCTGGTGCTGGACACCACGGTAGCACACATGCCAGTTCTACCTGTCTCCCGGCACAGATAGAGCCTCACTTTCGTTTTAGGAAGTGGACACTCGATGACAACGGATCCGCCCAGCACTCCCTCCACGTGGACTTCCGGGAGGATCTTCAGAGCCGCCGATACTGCAGGGAGAGGAAGTTAATGCAATGGAAGCTGCAGCGACAGCCATGTCCCACCCTCTTCTGCTTCCCCCCAGCTTCAGCCCTTTCTGCAACCCTAGCCCAGCCCCATGAGCCCTAGCCTCAGCCCTACCTTCACTTGTCCCCTCAGCCTCAGCCTCAGCCTCTTCCTTTCCCCAACCCTACTCGCAACCTCGGGCCAGCTCTGTGTCCATCTGCAGTCCCATGCCCAAGCCCTAACCTAACATCAGCCCGTCACCAAACCCAAACCCGTGTGGACCCAGACACCAGCCCCCTGAGATGACAGTCAAAACGACAGCGCCCACTCCAAGGAGAGGTGATAGGTCTCGCGTGACCCCACACAGCACCTGGCCCCCGCGAGCCCTCAGCGTGGTGTGTGTGGGGGGCGCGTGGCACGGTCCTGCTGCGGCAGGCTTTCCTTCCCAAGTTGGCTTTGCTCACTTCTATCCCTCCGGCTGTTCATCTACAGTTCCATTTACTAACTCAGTCTGCAGGTATTCACTGGACGCCTGTCCTGTGATAGTGAGCTAGCGGCATCCCTCCCCGGCGGCGTGCATCACACTGTGGGCGATGCCAGCAGATGGCCACCGCGGCAGTGGATAAATCCCGTGAAATTGGGGCGCCTCCAGCGAGCAGGCACACCCGACCCCGCTGTAGCAGGTGGTGTAGTTGGAGAAAGGCTTTCTGGAGGGGGCGTGATATCGGAGTTGAGAGCTGCGGAGGGGGCCCACAGGCCAGCAGGGAGAGTGACACAGCTCGTCTCGGAGGCAGGGAGCAGAGGAGGGAAGCCTGGCAAGTCAGCGTGCGGGCGCGCACATGCGCGGATGTGACACACCGCATGCGCATGGGGAGGACGAGGAGCCGGGAGGGATAAACCATGTGGTTCCCGAGTCGCAGACATCAAAAAGCTCGTGCTTTGGGTGAGAGAAGAGGGTTCTAACAGACCTGAGCCAGCTACAGAAGAGGGTAAGGCCATGTTTGATCAGTTGCCAACTAAGTGGGTCACAGTTAGTGTCTGCTTATTTCTGGGAAGAGGGTGCATAGGGCAGAGCGTGTGTGCATTGCCGTGGGGCTGGAGGGCTGGGGTGGAGGAGGAGAGAGTCCTCCAGATGGCAAGAACAGTCCCCAGGAAGGCTGGGACATGGGAGAGCACATAGCATGTCCATGGGTGGAGAGACGATCGCAAAGGAGCTGAGATTTATCCACAGACCACGCATCGAGAATAGCTGCAAGGGGTGCAGTCCCATGAGAGCCGAGGAAAGCTTCAAGAAAGGGGCGGCTTGAGGCTTTGGGATAAGGACGTTGTCGGTAGGGGGAAGAATGCTCGTGATGGTAAAGAGCTAGGAACAATCGCGGGAGCCGGGCGGGCCTAGGGGAGGGCGGAGAGGGGCTGGAGAGGGAGCACTTGCAGGAGCACGTCGAGATCTAAAAGTGGAGCTGGTGTTAACGTGGTAGGGGGAGGCCAGGCGGAAACACGGCTCTGACACGGATACCAGCACTCGAAATCCCAGCGCTGCTTTCCGCCTGCCAGACACTGAGTCTCGTGGCAGCCTCACAAGTGGAAGTGGCAATGCAAGGGTGACCTGTTCACAAGTGTCAATCAAAGGCCAAAGACCCAATCATGGGGGTGGATGGGGGAATCACCCTGTGCGTCCAGACAGCCCGCACCCGGGTGGGAAGGTGAGCCCTGAGGGTGGTGGCGCATGGAGGTTTCTGAATGAGACTAACCCCACCAGGGAAGGGGTGTGAGCGCTGCTTTCCCAAGAGCAAGGTGTTATCGAGAGAGCAAGGGCAAGACAGAGCAGAGATGGGGGCATCGCCTACGCAGACGCCTCCGGTGGCCTCAGTCTGCTCAGGGTCGAGCTCTGGGTGGGTGCCTGGCTTGTCAATCCACATCCTCTGCAGAGCATGAGAGACTAAGATGCAATGACCTGGTCCTACCCTTAGGCACGGTGATAATTAAATCTGTCTAGGGTGGGGCCTAGGAGCCTGATTTTAAATGAGCGGTCCAGCTTCCCTTGCATTTCTGCAATCCTGGGCTGTAGAACTGCATTTACAAATGATCTGGCAGAAGAAAGGGAAGAGTGAGAGTAGGTATCTAAAGGAACCAGCCTGTTCAATATTAATATTTTAGAGAGCCTACTAAGTAAGTGATGTGAATGTCTAAATTGGTGACTTGGTTTTTAGGGGTAATGGTAGGGAAGAGGGAGATATGGCGTTTCAAGAGTCACTGTCTATATATAACTGGATGTAAATATATGTTTGGAACATAAAAAATCCTGTGATTTTCATAATGTAAAATAAGGTCAAGGTCCACAGGGCCTTGGCGGCTGGGGTTGCTGTGGAGATAGACTCTGGCTTGCATGTGGTGCTGATTTTCTAGAGGACCTCATCAACTCAGATCAGAGCAGAATCTTGCGAAGAGGAGAGGTGGCCTGAGATTTTTATGTTTATCAAAAGGGGCGTGGCCTTTTTTTTTTTTCCCAAAAAAGGATGAGGAACATCCCACTCAGCTTCCCATATCCATACACAGCAAGCTGGGCCCGCCCAGGCTGCTGCTCTGGACAACGAATGAAGTGTCCACCTCCTTTCAGAGGCCGATCCCTCCCCCTGTGTCCCCAGTCTGTCCGTCCTGCTCACCTGTTTGAGAACTTCCCATCTGCAGTGTTCCCTTTTGTCTCCCTGACCACTGGATGCTCCTCTCTCAGCATTGCCGTAGCTTACACGCATGCTCCAGTACTGCCCTTTTTAAAAGACCCCTTTTCCCTCCCCTCCACCTGCCACCCCACCTCTCTGTTCTCTTTCTCAGAGTCATCGAGGTCACTAAATCAGACTCACTTCCACAGCTCCTAATTTCTCTTCAATCTGCTCCCATCAGAATTTTGTCTCCAACATTCCATTGGAATTGCTCTGGTCAAGTCCCCAAAGTTGCCCCGTTGCCACCTTCATTGGTCCCTTCTTCGTCTCCACCCCACTCGCCCTGCCAGCAGCATCTGGCAGGATGGAGCCCTCCCACCTTGGGACACTGCCTGTCCCGGCTCCCCGGGCGCAGGCTCAGCGGGCTGCTGCCGGTCAGAGTCCGTCTTCCTTCTCCTTCTCTCCCACCTTGCGATGTTGGGCTAGCTCAGTGCCTGCGGCTTGGGCCCTTTCCTGTCTCTGTCCTCCCTCCCTCTCCCGTCTCACTAGCTAATGTACTCCCGTGGGTTTTAATGCCAATTCTCTATAGATTTCACCAAAATGCAATGTCTAGTCTTATTTTACACACTCTGAGCTCCAGACTTGCCTCTCTGACCTCTCCACTTAAATATCTCAGATAGATTCCAAACTCGCACGCCCAGAAAAAAACCGTTTGATTTCTCCTCCCAAACCTGTGCCTTCACGTACTCTTCAATGGCACCCATCATCCACCCACCTGCTGATGCCCAGAACTCAGCCCCATAATAAATTTTAGTGGGGGGTGTGTGCACACGCGTGTGCGTGCTGGGTCATGACGTGAATCGTATGTGTTAGGTGTTATTATGTATGTATGTATTATTATTGTGGATCCAGGTGAAAGCCCACACTGTGACATGCTTCCCTGCTTTATTATGGAGCCCCACATTGGGTCCCAGGCAGTGTGATCTACAGCTTGGGGACCAGGCCCTCCCCAACATTTGTAGGACCTGGGGCAGGAGTACAAATGAAGGCCCTGATATCATATGTCTAAATATTTTAAAAGTATAAATCAAGCTAATAAACTGTTGAATAAAATATACTTCACTCCCCTATCCTGACAATTGCACACACTCCTTGCATGTCTGCTCTAATACATAGCCATGCAGGAAAAAATGGCTCTAAGTTTCCTGGCCCCGGTCTCTGCCTGTCTCTCTTCTCTTTCCATCCCTGGCCCCTGCCCACACGAGGGGCCTGGTGTGTCCATGGTAGACACCCAGCTGGCAAGTACTGTCTCTAGCTCCTTCCCAAAGAGCCACCTGTGGCCATGTTTTATAGGCCAGGGGTCAGCCTCGAGAAGACCCAGGATAGAAGCTTGCACCATCGTTGAAAGTGGGCCCAGAGTCCACTGGACAAGGGATTCCAGTTCTAGAAGAGGGGGTGTGGGTGTGGGCTGGGGTGTGTATATCCCCCTAAGCCTGCAAACTCCCTACCGTGTATGGGCGAGAGATGGATGGGGGCCAGGGCAGGGCCCCCTGTGGCCCAGCTGGAATGGTGGTGCTTCCCTGCACAGACTGAGGTGGTGCAACTCAGGGACCTTCACTCCTTTGGGTCTTCCACTTCCCACCCAGCCCCTGCTCAGGGCCAAGTGCAGATAAACCACCCACTGGGCACGCCTATGTCCCACCGCCTATCACAGTGTCTGACATTTCAGTAACACTCTGCTCCTTTGGGCTTTTAGGACTTTTCAATCTCCAACTCAACAAATGTTTGAATTTCTTCCACACTCAAGACACCACAAAGAGGCCGGGCGCGGTGGCTCACGCCTGTAATCCTAGCTCTCTGGGAGGCCGAGGCGGGCGGATTGCTCGAGGTTGGGAGTTCGACAATAATTCCGCTATTTTCTTTGGAGTCTGCTATGAAGCTGCCTGCCTTAGTGGTTTTTTCAGTACTTCCTGAATTGCACTCCAGCTTGGACCAATAGAAATATGTGAGTCAGGTATGTAATTTTAAATTTCCTATCCACATTAAAAAAGTAGAGGAACAGGTGAAAAAATTTTAATATTTATAGGAGTTAGAGTTTAATTAGGCCCGTGGCGCCCCGGTCCCCCTCCCCGAACTAAAGGCTGCTCCCCTTCTTCATGCTCGCCAGTGTCCCGTGTGGCGATGCTGCGTAAAAGCGTGCAGAATGTGCGAGGCACGGCCTTGCCTTCCAGCAAAGACCAGAGGGCCCTGGCCGGTCTTCTCCTCTCCCCATTTGCAGACCACCGACCCCCATCCACTTCCGCACACCCCAGGCTGCTCATCAGAACGCCCCTGGCTTTCCCCTG